GTTCCAAAATTCTGAGATTAAAGTCAGAATTCTGAGAAAAAACCCTCAGAATTCTGAAATCAAACCGAGAATTTTTTGAAAAAAGTCAGAATTCTGAGATTAAAGTCAGAATTCTGAGAAAAGAATGCAGAATTTTGAAATCAAAGCCCAGAATTTTGAGAAAAAAGTCAGAATTCAGATTTTTTCCCTCATATTAAGCTGAAATAATATTTAAAAATTAGTTAACTTTTTATTTATTTTTTCAGTGGCTCTAGTCCTCTTCCATAGATTTATGTTTGCTAACGGGCGTAAAATGACATCAGCTAAATTAACCAACATTTTAATGATAAAAGACAATGAAAGGTTAGTTTCAAAATTTCAACATAAAGTCTAAGATGTGACTTAAAAACAGAAACAAACAAAATAGAACCATGACGACTTTTATTTAAAACATTTATTTGACCCAATTCTTTGGAATGTAATAGTCAGTGATGAGAATCTGAAACAACAGAGATGGATGAGTCGGGTACTGAGCAAAAAGTCAAAGTACAAACAATACTTTAAGTCACATAAGGCCTCACAGCTTTCTGATTCTTTTAACTTTCTTGTTTTCCTTTGTTTTGTTTTTTTTTTAGACAAGAAAACTACAGAAACAGTACATAAAATAAAACATCTTCTCTTGTCATACAAAGAAAAACAGAAGAAAACAATGGCACGTACATCAGTGACGGTACAAAAAAAAAACAAGGTGATATTATACCAAGTAAATAAAATTGTTACTCGTATATAAGCTTTTTCGAGAATGAAAAACATCTCTGTAAATTGTACAATTCAGAATTCTACCACGGCTGTCTGAAACCATGTTCAAAAGAAGCAACAATAACACTGTCCTTACTGTCCATCCTCCTCTCTTTTCATAAATCAACATCATAAACACATAGATTTTTTCTTTTTTAAATATATCAGTGCAACATTTGTTTTCAGGTGGAGTGCTGCAGCATCCTTTTTGTTCAATGGGGTCTGGCTAAATCAACCTTCCTGTGAAAGAGGAGTAAACACATTATGCCTTCCCAGTTTCTTATGTAAATATAATGTATTTCTTGTCTTGTTCAGGAACAGAAAGAAGTTATTAAACTATGACATTTTATAATCCCGCGTTTCTAAAGGTGATATAATAATTCAGTTTTAGAGAAAACAGTGTTTATGAATGTTAAAAGGCTTACAGTAATTATAGTAGAATAAACATTTAGAATAACATTTGGAGGCCTCAACTGAAGCAAAGTTCATTCTGGCAAAATTTGAAATAAATCAAGAGATTTATTGCTGAGGCAATGGAAATCTACAGTCCTTCTCCTATGTGATTCATCCCTATTATACCAATGAACTCCAAGCCAGGAACAATTTTTGTTTGTTTTTCTTGTTAATTCCTGTTTTGGCAAAGGGTCACCTACCAATAGGATGTTACTACAAGAACCTACAAAGATTACCAACAATCCCAATCTATGCTCAAACGCTGTCAAAGAGTGATGCTATTCTCAGCTATGCTGGTGAAGGTTCTCAGTCATTCCAAAAAAAACAATCCACTGGACTTTATTTCCAAGGTGTGCTTCCCGTCCAGGAAGCTTTTCCACTTCAAATGACAGTGGAGGACCTCGTCTATTCAGCCAATCCAACAATCCCCTTCAACGACCGACCTTTAAGACCCTTAGATGGGTATGGGGTATTATAGTCTAACAAAAGAAGCCAAATGACCCCCATTCCAACTGGTCTGACTCCTTCGCCTGTTCCAATTTGCATGTTTTAACACAAAAACAAGGCTTTGCTGGGCTACTGTATAAAACCTCAAACTCAATGCTATGCCCGACATTTTAAACTTGGAAACCAGGTCCAATGGATTGTTTTTATTTTTTATTTTTGGAATTAATATTCTCAGCTAGTTATCCTACCTCAAATGATAATATAAAGTTGCTAATAAACCTTCTTTTAGTCACTCGGGTTTGTGTTCGATTACACTCTATGTTATTGGTAATAAAGGCAAGTGTTAAAGTATAAATCAAACAATCAAAAGGATTTTCCTTTTAGCACAGATGTTTCTTCACAGACACGCTCTATTTCCAGCCTCCTTCTGCCATCATCAACATCCTTTAACTTTTCTGCTTTTAGCAAATACTGCCATCCAATTTAGAGGTACTGGTCCAAATTTTGGCTTAACACCACCATATCATCTGCATAAAAGTGTGGATGAGACCCAGATGTTCCCAGATTGGTTTCCCTTCTCTCCATCACCAGCCTTATGATCCAGTCTTTGAATGCCACAATCAGGGTTAGTAATAAGAGCATTAATATGCTCTCAAACCACCTCAGCTTTGTGCCTACAATACAGACGGAGCGTTCATTTGGATATAAAAGGACTGGATCGCCTGTGGAAATTAAACCCAGCATTTTGTATTGCATCAGGGGACAGATGCCAGAAATCTGCACAAAATCTAATTGGACAAGACTGCTACTAAGTTATGATTTTAAAGATGAAAGACTATGGAGTCCAACGGTTTGATAGTCAATTAAACCCCTGTTTTTTATTCCTTTAAATCTAATTTCCGGAAAAAAATAGGAAAAAGATGAAATTCAGTACATTTGTACTGCAAATGTGTTGGGCCAGTGTTGGCCTAGTGGTTAGAGCAGTGGGCTTGTGCTCTGAGAAGGTTGGAAGTACCTGGTTCAATCCCTAGAGCCTGCACTGTGGGTCCCTGAGCAAGACCCTTAAAGCCATGTTGCTCCCTGGGCGCCGCACAATGGCAGCCCACTGCTTCCTAAGGGGATGGGTTAAATGCAGAGAGTGAATTTCTCCAGTGTGAGATCAATAAAGTTCAATTATTATTAAAATTAAGACTTTAAATCAAGTTTTTTTTTTATCTCACTGATAAGAACGGTAACTAAAGGGGGATTACATTTCCTATAATATAGTCTTCTGAGCTCATGTCAAAATAGATCAAATATATCATCACTGCTCTTGTTTGCACTGAGACTGATATGTTGTCTGTTTTTATACCATGTAAAGACATAAATTCCCTTTCTTGTGTGTGTTTTCTCCTCTGCCACATCATTCAACATCAGGTGAAAAAGGAGATCCCCAAAAGATACTGCAGCACTGCTTTCTTCCTCTATAGAAAAGGGCGCTCAAATATATATTAAAACCTATATACAATAAGTTGGAGGTGTAATGTGCCATGAATATGAGGCATTCAGGGCTCCTACACATTTACTATATTGGGAACTTTCATAGTTTTCTTCAGTTCTACGGATATAAACCTGGAACTCAACAGCTGAGTGAATGTCAGTGTAACCAGATGCTTTTATGTTAAAATCACAGCGATAAAACGATGCTGATTCATGGCCACAGCCTGCAAACTTTCCCTTAGTCCATGTAGGAACCCTGGAAAGAATCCCAGCAGATGGAAAAACAACCAGCAGAAAACAAGGCAACAGAAAAACAGGAAAAAAAAGGCACTGTTCGAGCAGGTCGGTGGTCCTGCATTAAGATCACACACTCGCACACACCCTTCAGTTATTCACACACACTTCGGATGCGGATGTAAATGAGTGTGAGGCATCCACACACACTTTCACACACGTGTGAGGCTAACTTTTGCTCATTCGGCATAAACTTTCGCACAAAAGGACAAGAAAACCAACAAACAGAAACATTAAAACTTTCAGTTATAGTTCACTGACGATACTTTGATCTGAATTGGTCTCAACACCAGCATGTGATTACGCAAAATCAACAAAGCACGCCGAAAAACAAAGAAAATCCTCAGTTTTCTTCTTTTTTTTTTTTGTTTTGCTGTACAGGTTGTTTTATACACAGCACCCCCTACAGGTGAGTCTCTTCCACCACCGCTCCTGAGAAATCAAAATTAAATCGGCTCACTATCAGCCAACCCTGCTGTCCCATTGGTGGCGTCAGCCCCGTAGTTGGCTGCTTGTAACGTGTCCACTCACAGAGCCGTCGAGGCCCCGCCCCTTTGTCTCTAAAGCTCACGCCTCTGAGTAGTTGTTTGTCTGTCCGTTCATCTTGTCCTTCTTTAGTTTGACGCCGTCCACCAGCTCAAAGTTATAGTTTTCCAGGGCAGATAAGTTCCTGTCGGTCATGCTGCCCTGCGAGCAGGCACAGTACAGCACAACGCCACAGATGGCTCCCAGGAAGACGCCTAGAGCTGACATGGCGATGATGGTGATGAGGATGGGGTCTATGGTCTTCAGCATGTTGCCCGGTCTGCCGAGATCACCTGTTTCCTGAGAGAGGGAGTCCATTGCTGCAACAGATGGAAAGATGTTCACGTTAGATGGTTGGAAACCAAAGAAGACAGATAGATGGTAAATAATATTTATAGGAATTTTCTAGTCATGCTGACTGCTCAAAGGTTGTTTTTTCTTTGTTATCTATGTTATGTAAGACAAATCAAGTTTAAACAAAGGGGATGGAACTTAGATTTCAGATTTCAAAAACCTAAAATTCAGTGATTGAGTTGATTCCTTCCCGCTATCATTGCAGCCCCCACCCCATTACAGGGGAACAGAGCACCTCGCCTCTACATCCAGGCCAACAATTCCCTCTAACGACCCTCCTTTCAGAGACATAGACAGGTTTATTGGGTATTACAGTCTAAAAAATAAACCCAAACAACCCCCGTTCCAAATGGGTGGACCCGTTTGTCCTGTTCAATTTGCATGTTTTCTAAGCCGAAACTTGTTTGGTTTTTGTTTTTGGCGTCACATTCATACACATTTATACACGTTTAAGCCAGAATGATTTGACAGTTAGATACTACCTCCCAATGACTTTAAGTTACTATTTTTAAATGTTTATTCTTGTAATTATTGTTTTATTTTACTATTAAATTTGTCAAAATAATAATTCTCAGGATGCAAAATGCACAATACTTACGTAGCATTAGGATCTCAGTGGGAGGAGACGTTGGAGCTTCTGGGTCTGGAGACAAAAACAAGAATCATGCATCATGATGTCACTTCCTAAATGTTTGCCTCACTAGATGGAAACTTGTTGTTCAGTTAATTTATTTATTATTAATGAAACACACCCTTGCAGCCCTGAATGTCCAGAGCGTCCAGGATTTTGATGTCATCCACTGCTATGTGTCCAGTGGTGTGTCTGTCTGCACTTCCTTCAACCACCACCTGCAAACAGCAGCAGAAAGGAGGCACCGTAAACTAATGGAAGATTTTTAAATAGCGTAAGAGAGGCTTTTTAAAGAGGAAGCTCATTTATGATTCATTTGTTATTAATCGTTCTATTTATCCTTGTTTTTAGCTTTTTAAAAAATGTTAATCAGCAAATAAAAATACAAATAACTCTGAAACCTACAGGCTGAGGGAACAAACTCTTCTTAAACAACATTTTGATAAAAAGTTTTTATATGTGAGGTCAATATTACATACTTACCATTTAACTACGTTTTTTTTAACAACCTCGAAAAAAAGTGAAAAACAGTGTTTCTGTGTGTGAGCCAGATGATCATACATAAATAAATGACATTCTATGTTAGCTTTTTATATTGAGAAAAAATATATAAGGAGAAACAAAAAATAATAATGGAAACATTCAAACTTTGAACTTATATGGTTAAACCACTCTTCCACTTGAGACAACAAACTTATGTCTTAAATTAAAAGTATTAAATTATACTTTAAATACTTAATTTTATAATGGACGTTGTTTTTTAACAGTATCTTAGCTTCGCTGTTACTGATTATTCATGTAATTAATCAGAAATAAACTGATATTTTTCCTTTACCCTTACAGGATTCAGCTCCTCTAACCTTGTTCATATTCTTGACGGATTCAGCTAAACGTTGGATGAATGAACATCTAATAGAAAAGCTCCTGTCTAACAGATTTTATAGATCCAAAAAATATTTCCCTTATTTATCAAAGCAAAAGTGGGACAGAAGTTTCATGAACTAAATTAGCAGATTCATTAATTCTTTAGGCCAGGGGTCACCAATTATAAATCAGCAAAGATCCGTACATGTTTTTGTTTATAATCTGTTACTCTAAACAGAATTTAACGCTGAAATAAAATGAGGTGTTTATGCAAAGCTAATTTGTATCACGTGTAGCCTGGTGCCAGACGCTCCGGGGGGCTTTACCGTATTAACAGGAGAAGCTGTGCAAGTGAAATTAGACACTACCGTCGGACAACATGCGGTAATTTATAAATGTTTTAAATCAGGTTGGTTCCGGGTTAGCCAGCAGGTGGATCCGGATCCGGACAGCGGACCGCTAATCCGTGACCTCTGCTTTAGGAAAACCGGTTTCAGTTTTAATTTAACCCCAGATTTTATATTTGTCTGTTAGGCCTATAATTAAATAATCAAATGAAAAAAACATCTTTTTACACGAAGGAAAGTTGAAAAGACTCGCCCTCTGCACTTAAAAAAAAAAAAAATTTACATACACTTTAAAAAGAAAAAATACAAATACACAAGCACTGTACCCGTGAGGGAACGCTTGTAAAATGTGAGTGAGAGCGTGCATGAGCCCATTTCTCCTCGTGTGCGCTCTGTTTAAAAGTTGCTGTTTGCATCGCTCATACAGCTTACTTTCTAAAAGAAGATATGCAATTTTTCCACTATGTCAAACTCACCACCGGTTAGTGAAAATGGGGACAAGCACGTAGGATGTAAACATTTCACCTGAATGATTGACAATTAGGAGGACCACTTATTTTGATGATCCACCCAGAAAAAGAACATCCTCCACAATAACTTTAAGAATATTATATCATAATATAAAGCTGAGGAAATTTGTACAATCCAAGAAGTAGCCTCTTTATCAGGACCTGAATAGAATCTCTCTCCTTCTTGCAGGATTCTACCTTTACTCTTAGAACAATCTCTTAGAATCTTGATGTAATTTAACAAATTTTGACTTTACTTTGAGTAAGTCCCCCTTTAGTTCCTTACCTGATATGGGATTCTGCTTTGTGGAAGTAAAACCCGGCCTTCTCTCCATCCGCTGCCCTCATTGCCACTCATGGACCACAGGACCTGCTTGTTGCCCTCCTCCCTGTAGCTGATGCGGAGCACCCCAGCTCGCTCGCCAGCCATGTGGTACCAGAAGGACATGCACAGGCTGCCGTCCGGCGAGGTGATGGGTAAGCTGGCCAGCCTGGCCACCCTCTCCTCCTCACTCGTGTCATCTCCAGTTTTAATGGGTGTGATTGCATCTGTTAGCTGCATGTAGATGAAGTTCCCTGGACTGCCTGCAGGGGGCAGCAAAAGACAAGACATGACAGACAGCTATGAGCTGCTGAAAGGCTTCATGAATCAAACATGCAGCTTTTTCTACTAATATTTCAGTGAAAAGAGGTGCTTTATAAAAGCCTCTGAAACTCTCAAGTGCGTTGGGGTCAAAGAGGCTTTTCACATTCAGAATATACGCCTCAAACACCCCAAAGACATCAAGGACTTCACAAGGTTTTTCAGAGAAAACAAAGGCTTGAATATCAGGAGAAAAGTCAGCCCTGTCGTCACAAAGAGCTCATTTTTTACTTGTGATCTGGTTAAGTCAAGGAATCAAGGAGAAATCATTCATTTTGGCGCTGCCGTCGCCTCCACACAAACATCCATCAAACTCATCAGGCTGGAATGGAGACGAAGGCCAGAGAGGTGAAGCACGCTGATGGATTTCTTTGTTGAGCTTCTTTTCCAAAAAGTCGAGCTCTTCAAGGTTGCTCCATCACTTTGAAAATGTTTTAACGCCCGAAAACTTCTGAATGTTCCTTCTGTTTGCAGCCAAACATCCTGCCTATTAGTTATAAATCTCTGGATATCTTTACAGAACTGCAGAAGCAGAAGGTATAGAGCCGCCTCAGAGGATTTCTGAATATACTGGTCTATAGGAGATGAACAGATTTAGGTTTATATTACGGTACCTAAATATGGGATATATACTTTAATAAAGGTCTTTTAATAAGTTAATAATCCCCCAAGTTGGAAATTAATGTAAATAACTCTAGTTTTTTATGTTTCCACATAGGGAGGATTTTAGAATAAATATCTTCAATTGATTTTGAAAGAGTTTATGGACCTCAGTATCAAAAAAATAGAGAAGGAAAACCTGAGTTACAGCCAGGTCATAATAAGAGACAAGAAGTTAACAAGATAAAACTACAATATTCATAGCAGTTTAACTTCATATTCCATAAAGTAACCGATCGGTGCTGGAAAGAAACCTGTGAGTTCCAATAAACTGTCATTTAGATATATTTTCCCATCAGAAGTTCTTGGAAAGTTCCCTTAAGGTCCTGGAAAGTAAAGTCTATGTTTAAAAAAAATATATAAATTCAATAAAATCTGCTCCAAAGAACCTAAAAAAACAACCAGTCAGTCCTTGTGATTTTGGAAAATATTCCTAAATGCAAAACACAGCTGAAATATTAAAATATACCTTTAAAAGCATTGAATACCAATTTTCTAGCCCGTAGATAGCCTTACTATCCTCTAACGTAAAATGAGCTTCCCTCTATTTACCTCTATAGTCTGCATTAGGTAAGCTCTTGTTCACTACTACTTTGTTGAGCCAACGCCTCAGCTGTCGTTGACGCCTCGGCGAGAGGCGACAGTTTTTTGGTGAAAGATCACAAAAGATCAGCCATTAGTGCAACTTAAGCCCCACCACAGACTCCATACAGGGTACAAACATAAAAAAAGAATTGTCTAGAGCAACTGTTTCCAGACTCTGAGAAGCTTTTACTTGGACCGCTGAACATTTTATGTGACAACATGAATTTATGGTAGTTTCACAAGAATTTCAATCAACTAGAGCTCTGACAGTTTAGCTGCAGCTAAATGTTGGATAAAATGAGTCGCTACCCGATCCATCCTGCTCATCCGCGAACAGATATACATCCGGATGTCCTTAAATAATGTAATTATTGTACTAAAACTGCTCATTTCTATCCTTAACTCAGTAAGGAATGCTAATACACGTCTTTAAAAATGTTTTATGACTTTTGTGGGACAATTTAGATGATTTTTACATTTTCTCCGTTAAACTGCTTCTCTGATGTCATCATGGGACTTGCTCAGAGCAGTCCGGCAAAATATGCTTAAAACATGTTTATCTGCATTTTAGTTGTTTCTTTCTTTAGAATACGCACTATATACCATAATGTTAACATTAAAGGAAAAGATAACTCAAAAAGACTAGATTTATGTTTGAATCCAAAGCCAAAAAAGTTAGCCACCGGACATAGTGTAGGATCCCATTTCCGGTGCAGATCGGGAAAAGACGAAGGATAAAAAAAGAAAGGATTTTAAGGCATTTATTTTCTGAGGAAATACATTATTAACCTTTAAGACGTTATATTTTAGTTTGCTTACTATTTTTGGGGAGGGAAAAACGTCATTTAGGTCTTTTTAACAAAATAAAAACGAAAAAAATTTATATCTGAATGCGCATGTGCAAATGAGCTGATGGCGCATGTGCAGAACGCATCTTGCTTCTGGGACAAATCGGGTAGTGACATGGACTAAAAAAGTGTTTGTTCAAATATGTGTTGGTACTCCCAGGACACGACCGATCTGTTCAATCTGCTGTGACTATGGTGATTCAAATTTTTTGGCTTGTCTTTTGTATCTCTGCCTCTTTTTCTATCTCTGCTTCTGTCTCCTTGAACCTCAGTTGGCCTCAGCAGATGGCCGCTCACACTGAGCCTGGTTCTGCTGGAGGTTTCTTCCTGTTAATAGGAAGTTTTTCCTCTCCACTGTCTCTACAAGCATGCTTGGTGAGAGGGATTGCCTTTGAGTCAATGATTCGATGCAATCAACTGGTTTTGCTTACATAGAAAACTTTGAATCAGTTTGACTGGATGATCTGATTGAATTGTCTCTATAAAATGCCTTGAGATGACGTGATGTGAATCGGTTCTATATAATTAAAACTGAATTGAATTGATTTTAGAAAGTGGCAAACAACAATAATTCTAAACATAAAAAATTTATTTCATAAGCTGTTTTTTTTTAAAAGGGACTGTTATTTTTTTGCTTTTTGCTGTTTATTTTAGCAAATTATTAATAATTATTATGAATTATCTCTTAGTGAGGATGCTCAAGTTGAAGTTTAAGTTTAAGAAAATCGTTTTTAAAGGAGCAGGAAGTTAAGTCTGTTTTGTTTTAAATGTAATATATTGTTTAAAACTACACTGTAGCTAAGAAAGCTGCCCGATAATATTCATTTTTTTCCAGTGATCCACGTTTTCTGCATCCTCCATTGGTCACAGAGCCCATAGAGGGAGTGATTTGAGGAATTGGACCCTCCTAAAATCTATTTTAAAACAAATTTTAAAAACAAATCCTGTTAAAAAGTGCCTTTTAACAGCGATACTTTCAATATGATAAGTTTTAAAAATGTATTTGATTGCAATATGCGATCCTTTGAATATATTTGTATCCCTTTTATTCCATTGACCGAAATAGATGTAAAATACCATGATATTTGTGCCGATGATGAGGGTAAAATGCTGACCAGATCTGCATCGTAGGTTTTCTTCTTTTGCTGCAGGAATAAGGTTTCTAATGCTTCAGTTCACAATTTTGCTCTTTTAAATGAGTGCAACATGTGTAATGCTGTTATTTTCCTGCTGCTTTTGGTCTACAGGGTGTTAATTAAAGATTATTTTATAGGTTTTGCTCAGTGGAGTCGAACTCTCTCCGAAGTCTCCTTCCAGCGGTATTTTTGCTGTACCTGTGTGGTCGAGGGCCGGCGGTCTATGGACAGCAGGGTCTTCAGTGCTCTGGATAAACCACTCGGCTCCTGAACCGACGTCCTTGTTCCAACCGCATAATGATGGGAAGTCAAAGTTACAGGCGAACCAAAGGTAATCTGGAGGACACAGAAAAAACAACATGGGACCAAAAGGTTTGCAAGAGGAATACTCAAAGTTTGATAAAGTTATATGATGCATTTTCTTATCAAATTTGCAAAAATATCATTTATTATGAAGGAAATAAAACAGACTAATGTCACTCATCATTCTCTATTTATAAATGTTCAAACATGCTTGAAAAAAAATCCCTTATGCAATCTGCATAGAGAATGCCTTTAAAAGGAACCTGAAGGAGTTGATTATCCTTCAGCTGAATCCCAACCTTTTTATTAACTAATGAGCGGCCACCCTTAAACAAAGCTCCCCCATCTGCTTTGGTGAAACCTTCCAGGAAGCCAGAACAGGAATTACCAGAAGCCTCCTGGAGCCAAACATCATACAGCGACAATATAAAGTTTAATGCTCCAATCTCATGCTGTGTTTACAAACTCGTTTAACTCTGTCAGGTAGAGAAGAAGGCCTCGGGTTTTAGGATCGTCTTTATTAGAAACGTGTGTGATGGGGATTTATTCCACCCTCCCTGACAGAAACAATTGGGAGCCAGAAGGAAAACGGTTTAACTAGAAATTACTACAGGATGAAAACTTCCAACTTTATCAGGTAAAGTTAGGCTGCCTCATGTTTCTATGATGAATCCTCTCAGTCTGTAGAGATCAATTTATTGTTTGGCTTAGAAAACTGGATGGTGTTATTTATCTACACCCTTTGATGCCTGTTATTTGATAAGCTAACAATGAATTTGTCTTTCTGAGGTTTGCTTGTTTACTACATCACATCCAAATCACATCATTTTAGTTGCTTGAAATATAAAACATTTACAATCATTTTGTCTTTACATTTGTGTTATAAATTATAAAGTACTTTCTTTATCAAGGTGTGCAGCCTTTAGATTAGATGAGAGGGATCTGAGGGTAGAGCTGTGGCTAATTATAATACCTACCTTACCGTACTCTAAGAAAGGATAAGTAACAGAAAGTCTCCTGTAGGCATCCTATAAGGTTCAAGGAAAGTAATTAATAGGGTCTAAAAAAAATTCTAAGGTGACATATTTAGGAAAAGTTTATATTTTATGTATAGTGTATATTTTAGCCACAGCAAAAAACTGTTTTCCATAAACAAAATAGTTTATGGAAAGTACCCTGTAAGGTGTAAGATCTAGGAAAGAAGCCTGTAGGTCCTGGTTAAACACTACAGATGTCAGAATAGAAAGAATCAAATAGTTTTGAATAGTAACTGATAAAGGATAACCTATACACTGCAAAAAATGATAATCTAAATAAGTCATTTTTGTTCTTAAAATAAGTGCATTTTTACTTGAATTGAGGAGGTAAGTGAGACATTTTGCCAATGGAACAAGCCAATTTACATTTCAAATAAGAAAAAAAAGCTGCATTTTCCCATTTCCAGAGCACAATATTCAATTATCTTAATTTAAGGGTAAAAAATATTCAATACATTGGCAAATAATCTTATTAACCTACTCAAATTAAGGGTAAATACACTTAATTTAAGAAACTTTTACTCATTTCTAGATTGTTTTTGCAATATAAATACCACAAAGTATTAAGACAGCACTGGAAAAACGATCTAGAAATAAGTAAAGATTTCTTAAATTAACTGTATTTACCCTTAATTTGAGTAGGTAAAGGAGATAGTTTGGCAATGGAATGAGTATTTTTACTCCTAAAATAAGTTAATTAGATAATATGTACTTGAAATAAGAAAATGCACTGTTTTCTTATTTTAAGTGTAAATTGTCTTGTTCCATTGGCAAAATGTCTCTTTTACCTCTTCAATCCAAGAAAAATTCATTTATTTAAAAAAAAAAAGACTTATCTAGATTTCGATTTTTTCCAGTAAGCTCCAAGTAGGTACGCTGTAAGTTCAGGGAAAGTAACCTGTAAGATCAGATCAATTTGCTGCCTGTTCCTTGGTGAATACTGGATTTTTTTTTCAAGATGGAGCTCCAGGTAGATTTAGAATCGGGTACACTCCTGGAAAGTATCCAGGATGTACTAGAAAATAGCCTGAAAGTTCTAAGAGATGAATATTTAAGCCCCAGACTTGATTACATTGCAGGTCAGTTCCTACATCAGGTTTGTCCCTAAAGTATACTCTAAGTAAACTTTACAGAAAGAACTAGAAATGAAAAGTAAACTGTAAGCTGTGTAAAGGTAGTAATGTATTACTACCAGAGAAATAGAGCTCTTTATTAAATCTTTTAATGAATAAAAAGAGTATATAAAGAGACAACCACTGATTAAAAACAGCTTCATCTTAAACAGTTTCAGCAGAGATGGATGAGGGAAGTCTCCTCCGGTTCCTGCTGGTGGTGGAGCGGCCGCCGCAGTTAAACCACAGCATTCAAATGGATTCAGACGTCTGTGTTTTTTTTTTTTTTGCAGGCTAATAGGATGCAGAGATGACTGCGGAGCTGCACTGGCAGACCCCAAACTGCCTCCGTGCGATGCTTCAGCTCAGCTAATTGAGACCCAGGAGGCTTTTATTCTTTCTCTCCAGGAGATCCTCCCTCCGTTCTTCTCTTTCACCACAATTCTCTCCTTTTTGTCTGTTTACTACTGCAGTCATGCTGCTTAACCTTTCAATTTTTCCACTCTTCTCTTTCAGCTGAGGCCAGATAGTTTATTTGTAAAGGTTCAGCAATGTCTGACTGAGCTTTATGTGCATTCATGTCTTCTTTTTAGTTACATTTTTTTACGGCATGTGGCTCTAAGTTTTCTTTTACATGCCAGTGTGCCCATGCCGTGTTTTCAATGTGACAGCTTTTAGGATGATGAGAAGCACATTTTGTTTGTTTGTTTGCTTTTAATTGATGTGAAAGTGGAGTACTTTTCTAAGGTTTGATCGTCCAGAATGGTTAAAAGAACATGTTTGCTGACTGAATTCTTTTGGAAAATATCCATCTATCCATTTTCTGTCCCTCTTATCCTAGGCGGGGTCATGAGGGGTGCTGGTGCCTATCTAACAACCATTCACGTGCACACTCACACCTAAGGTGGATTTAGAGAAGTCATTTAACCTCACAGTCATGTTTTTGGACTGTGGGAGGAAGTCGGAGTACCCGGAGAGAACCCACACATGCACAGGGAGAACAAGTAAACTCCCTGCAGAAAGACCCTGGGCTGGGAATCGAACCCCAAACCTTCTTGCTGCAAGGCGCATTTGGAAAATAATCCAACAAAAACATTTGCTTGGCGTTATTTTTAATTTCATGGGATATTCTGGTACATCCTGGATAATTTAGCTTTTTTTCTACCTTGTTAAGATCAGTGAGTGTCATTTCTTTTCAGCCTGTGTTGAAAGTGATGTAACTTGACCTGAGATGTGACCGACTTCACAGAACAAAACGTTTAAAAAGTGGGGGAAGGTTTGCAGGGGAATATCCTCACCTGGAATGTTTGGACCGTCTGGGACCGTTTGGATCACGGAGACTCCTGTTACAGACAGATGGGACAGTCTGGGTTAGGTCAAAGGTCAGGGAGTCATGCCCCACCCGTACAAATGTCAACAAAAACACTAAATACCTTCCCCTTTAACAAAACAAAAAACATGTAACGTTGATGAAAGCCTCTGATGCTTAGTGGTCATAATAATCTGGTAGATAAAGGTGAGGCTGAAGAAGTGATGGTGCAGCCAACAGTGGTTTTATAAAAACAACCATAGTTTAGTAAAAAAAAAAGTTATAAAAACTTGTGCTTGAATTTGTAGGTTTATTATTTTATTGCTAAAAAGACAAAATATCAGGTTTTCCTTTAAAAATAAAAGTTTAAACAGGGAGGATCAGCTTAAAGAGGAGAAGGAACTGGTGTTTTCTTACGAAAAGGCTCGTAGTCGTCGGGATCCCCCATTTCATCACCACAGTCCTGCTGCCCGTCCTCGCAATCTGAGCTGAGCATCGTGTTGGGAGCCGTGGGCGGCGCTGCCGTGGTCGCTCCGAACGTTGTCATGGGGAGCGTGGAGGAAGGCGGGGAGGTGGGAGGACCTGTCGTGGTTATCAATGCAAAGCAAAGTATTTCAAAAAAGGATCAAAATGTGCAGAAAAAGTGCAAAACTAAAGTCAGATTTAACCCAGGGTTTATACAGGAAAGAGTAACTCTAACTTGATGCTTTTTAATGCTCTAACAAATAAACTTTAATGCCATCTACAAGTACCCATGACTCTTATATATATATGTATTTATACATAGAAAACACAGCAAAATCCCCATGTCATCTTTACGTTTTCCAGCCACTTTTTTTTTTAAATTTGCATTTTATCTTCTTACCTATTCTTTTATCTTTTTATCTGCCTCGCGCTTCTTTTCCGAACGTACGGCTTTACGATCAACCAGAAGCAGTTCCACGCAAATATGTTGTTTTATAATTACCTGAGGAAATTGTTTTTTATAAAAGTTTTATTTTTTTTAAATAAAGCATTTTCAATGCCATGATAATCACATTTAATGCATTTTAATGCCAAATAAGGTCTTAATTAGAAAAATTATAATTTCATGACTTTTAATGACCTGCGGAAACCTTGTAACCTTCATGGGAGGCTGAGAATTTCCCCCCAAAAAAACTAAAAGATTTGGATTTTCCTGAAAGTGTTTTAAAAGCTGAAGTCACAGAATGTCTAAGATGGTCTTAAACGTGTGCTAAGAAGTATCAGACATTATTATTACTATTATTATTATCGTGTTGTAGAATCTGGGAAATCATCCAGAAAAATCACCTGGAATCTTCAAGAAGGCATCTTTAAATCTGCAGAACTAACATTGATCTTCCATTAAAACATGTAGCGGGTTGAAATATAGAGGACACCCTAAGGAATATTATACCCTATAAATAAATGTAAATATAAATTCATAGAACATAACTTGTAGGTGAAAGGATGTACAAACAAAGCAGAAAGCAAACTAAATAAGGTTTTTGGTATTATTTAGAATGATACCCTGTCAGCTTTACTCATCAAATAATATCGGGCCGAAATTTTAGGAAGCAACTCAAAAAGGTCCAGAAAAATAACCTTTAAACTGGGAAAGTTTTCTAAGAAAACAGCATAATGCTTTGGGAAGGAACTTTTTAGATTCAGAAGAGTAACCTTTATATCCAAGGAACATATCTGTTAAATTACAAATCCACGGATAATCTGTGGAGAGTATCCTGTAAGCTCCATGAAACCTGGTCAGTTCTATAATATTAAATGAGCATTGTAGAACTTTTGTTTATAGATACATACAGACATAATGAAAGTAGACATTAGGTCCAACCTGGTTACAGTTGATCTATTGTTATTTCAGAGTTATAGGTGATGCTATTAGCTAATCCCACCATTATTCTATGATGGAAAGATTCATAATGTTACGAATATAGATCCAAAGTACTTTACTGGCTTTGGGGGAGATTCAGAGAAAGTAACCTGCAAATTCAACTACTTGAAAGTGACCTGAATGGTTCAGAAAGCACCGGATCAGACGTGTCTTTATAAAACAGGTCTCTGAATGTTCCCTCAGCTGAAGGAACCTTTATTTAATCAAACCTGCTGCTGAAATCCATCCTATTCCAATAAATTCAACCAAATCCCGGATGTAATCAAACCGTATTATTGACATTCTGAGTGGGATGGATGGAGGTTTGTTTTCCCAGCACTAAGCATGTTTTAACTTCTAACTAATCTGCTGTCATATCACAAAGCTCGTTAGTTCCCTCCTGCCTGCCTGAGCTTGATTTGTTGCCTCTATGATTGTATGAAAACAGAAACGCACACAAAGCATCTTCGGATGCATCTCTGTGTGAGGAATCTAAACAAAGCTGAATGATCTGAAATCTGAGATCCACTTTTATCACGATAAACATTAACAAAGAGAAAAGAAAAACGCAGCAAAGTGAGCTTCCAGTTCCACATTAATGCTGGGATGTACGGCTAACTGAATGCCCTGTTTGGGTCATTGAGCTGCTGAAGGAGGACGTTTTGTTTGCAGAAGTAAAGAAAGAGTTTGAATGAATTCAAATAAAAGTTCTATTTGGAAAAGAAACAGGCAGACAGGACCAAAGATCCTCTATAGAACTAAACAGAGGAGATTCCTTTGTTGCATTTTATTAAGCGCCAACATCAGCTGATAGCTGCACTGTTGTGTCTCTCTTTTCCTCTGCTGTTTAGTGTAAACTCACACAGGATGCAACACATGCATTAAGTTTGATTCTTAAAACAAAGCTCTTCTTTTTTGTATCAATAGTTTTAACAAAGAAATCCTTTTTTTTTTAATAATGACAGGGTCATACACATATGTGGAGTGGAGCTGTTGAGCTGAGGACCAGATCATGTAAAGGAAAGAAAAATTTTGGCTAAACGGCTAAAGTTTGAGCTTGGAAATGTTCACTTTACAGCAGCTGTTCGTTGCAAACTAAAAAAGTTTATTATCCCTAAAGGGAGCCGTGACGTCGTCTGAGGCGAGACCAGAATCCACCAGTAACTGAAGGTTGTAAAACGTTTATATGCACATAAATCCTTATCAAACCAGCTATTAATAATGACAGCAGGCAGCAGCACAGGTTTAGTTTAAAGCAGAATGTGAGCTGTTCCTGCTTATTACGTTACTATATTGTCAATGCTACTTTAACTTGAAATAAAACAAAAAAGAGCTCAGCATTTAACACATTTTAAAAGTTTACGCATTAAACATTTTCCAACTTCATGTTTAATGCAAGACAGATATTTTTATCCTCTTTATACGGCTCTGCTGCTCTCTCCCACTTAAAAAAAAAGTATCTCATCTGCTTTGGCTGATTTTTATCGCTTTCCCTGCAGGGCAACCAGATACTCCGCCAGAGAGCCCGCTTCCTCCCTTCATCTGTTCCTCGCTCACCTCCTGTGAGAGGTCACGCCCTGCCTTCCCTCCTTTTCTCCCCTGCAGCTCTGACCAACTGCAGCAGCAGCAGGAGAAACAAACCCGCCCTGGCATGCCTCAGCCTTTACTCCCAGCCCTCCAAGAAGCCGGCAGACCCAGACTGGGAGCAAGTTCATGTAAAAACATCCAAAATGCATAAACTATTTCAGCTTACATTAATGTTTTATTAATCCATTAGTTCTGAAACAGTAGACCAATATGAATGTATTGAATATAAGGATTAGAGAATCTAACTGCTGCTTGCAGAACAACAATGCAGCTTATTAACATCAGATGCAAACATCAGCATCTGGAATTTATAAAACTCACCAAGGATGAATTATTGGCAACTATACGATGCAAACATTTAAAGTATTTAGCGCCTTTACAGTAACTTTGCAATGAAATCATGTTGAGCAGATATGAGATTCTGATAGTAGAATTATTCTAAGGTAAAATACTAGAATCAGTATTTCAGTACTACTTCAGTAGAATGTTTAGATCAGTCTGTTTATCAGTGTTTGTGCTTTTTGGTGTCTATTTTCTTTCTTAAATCAACAGGAAAATGTAGGTTACCATAACACACCAGGGGTGGGTAGTAGCGAGTTACATTTCCTTGATTACATTTTTACACAAAATGTACTTACAGAAGTAGTTTTATTGCACTGTGCTTATTAATTTTACTTGAGTAATATTATTGGAAAGTATTGCTTACTCTACCGTGAGTAAATCTGGCACAATTGTTTACAATTTATGTTAATAGATTTCTTGTTTGTAAACAGGTTTTGCTGTTTTATAGGTGTAATTATCTGCTCTGCTCATAGAAGCCAATTTTTAGTTCCACTGAACATACAGTAAACAGTGGATGTTGTCATTCTATTCATTGTGTCACTCTTTAAACATAGATTAAATTGTGTCTAAAACAATATTCCTGCAGGTGCAGGAAGTTTGGTTTAGAGATACTTGACTGATCCTGACCTTAACCTATTAAATACACCTTTAGGATAAACTAGCGTGGAGCATTGAATTCTGGGTTTTATATCTGATTATGAACCCCTCCCCGCCAACCTAGATGTTTATAGAATAGTTGGTCTGCAATGCGGATCCATCTAAAAATATGACACTGAGATGAAAAACAAAAGGTAATGAAATTTCATATATATGCTAAAATAGAGGGCATTAACTGCTTTAAGTATATTGGTTTAAAATAATCTATTTAGTAAAGAGTCTCTTCTGCTAGAAGTTATTCGCTAGTTATGTTAGACATTGGATATTTTTGCTTTCTACCAAGCATTCTTTTATAATTTTAGCTTTCCGATTTTATTATTTTTAAATATTAATCACAGGATTGTGATTAGTAAGCTGTTCAAGATCATCTATCAGATACTTTTTTTACTCTAACTCAGGTTGTTTTCTGCTTGCTTACTTCTTACTTTTACTTTAGTAGAAATATGTTGAAGTAGCCCTGCCTTCACTTACAAAGTAAGTAAGACAAATTTTCAATGATTGATTGATTGATAGGTAGATAGATAGATAGATAGATAGATAGATAGATAGATAGATAGATAGATAGATAGATAGATAGATAGACTCAATCAGTTTTCTGCAGACTCTTGGTTTGAACTTACCTTCCAGTTCACAGCCCAGCAGCTCCAAACGCAGACCCATGCCCTCTGCAGTCGCTCTCTCTGGGTAGATCCGGACGAATCGGGTCAGAAGTGGACTGAGCGATCTCAGCTCTGGGGTTTCATGGTTCTGATTTCCAACAAATATCTGGAAAAAAAACCAAAGTACATGCAGAAGTTAGCTTTTAAATTTATCCCTGCATGAAGTGAAGCAGTGTCCAGATCTTGTCAGAATAGAGCTGTCTTTAGTCAGGTGTTTTAGAAATAATTCATGAATTCTCACTGATGCTGAGGTCAACACAAGGAACAGCATAACAAAACGTTACTGATGAGGCCTTTCTTTCAAACTGACAGAAACCTAATAGAAGAAAGAAAAAGAGGGATATTTTTGTGATCTTAAAAGCGTTCTGCTCTCTATTCTGCAGGTTTCAACTGTTTCCTTAATATAAATCTCATAAAAACACCTGAATTCATCCAAATCAGGCGTGTTTTTTGAAAAGCAGCTACAACCAGGACAGAAATGAAGGTTTTATGTCTTTTTCAGAACACATTCTTAAGCGTTGAAAATTAAAAACATGTCCTCCTTGTGCTGCAAATCATTAAACGTTGGTGTATACATTTTCAGCAGTGGCTTCCTTTACGATAACAGAAATAGTACGTCATCCAGCGTGCGTGCTTCAGACGGAGCTTGTAGAAGCATAAATTCTGGCACCGGCTCCGGTCTCGCTGAGCCTTCCCGCTCCAACTTCTGAGGAGCTGCTTTTGCAAAGGAACAACACAGGAAGCAGAGGGGAAGGCGTGGAGAGGACGGATGGAGAAGCATGCCGAGCTCAGCCTAGAGTAAATCAGCAGGAGGCTGACAGCCATAAGGAACGCATACAGGAGGATGTAGCACCAACTGGACCGGGTCGAGGAGGGGAAACTGGGTCTTAGGAGCAACAGCGTGGCTTTCCTGTTGTGGGCAGGGACTAAAAGATTCCTGGGTTCAAACACCTTCCAGATCTGAATCCAGAAACAATGCTGAGCTGCCTATCCTAATCCCCATTAGATGTAATGTTGTAAATCCAAATGCGAGTGATTTTAGGGATCTAACCTTGGGCTTCGTGGTGTTCTCCTCCTTAATGATGGTCCAGTGGTCTCCGTCCAGGCTGTGGCCCAGCTTAAACCTCTTCATATAAACGTTGCGGTCGCGGTGTTTTCCTCCCTGGATCACCACACCGCTCAGCATTTTGTCCTGGCCCAAATCCACCTGAAAGGGAGCACATTTTATAAGGATTTAATGCTCTGGGATAATAGAATATGAAAATAAACAATGACTCTAAGCTGCTAAAGCCTAAGTAAAGCCACTAAAACAGAATAAACGATATTGACTTTCTTTTATTGTTGACTATCTAAGGGAAAATCTTCATAAACTGTCTGTGCTGAACATCGGACCATTTGTTTGAAGCATAAGCTCAGAGGCAGCCGAGCTACAAACCAACCTGTAACCACTCGTTTCTGAAGGGCTGCTTGGTCTGCTGCCCGGTCCACCCCGACCGGCCCGTCAATAACCGGACGTTCTCAGCCACCCAGCCCCGGTCTGCGAAGGACGAGGCGCTGATCTGAGCGTCGGAGATCTGCCCTGACACCATGCCTAACATCGACGAGCACGGGTAGTCTGGAAAAAAGACCAGAACGGATTAAATGGTCGGAGGTTTGGGAACTTTGAAGACCTGTAGGGTTTGATAAGGAACAAATCAGCAAAACCATCTGGATTTTTTGGTGATGTGTTTATTTGAATGAAGCTGTTAAAATAATCATCATTGATGATGTGTGAGTTTATTACACCTTAATATTAGCTGCCTGCTGCGTGTTTGAACTGATGTTTTCCTCTAATTCAGACAGTTCCTCTGTCCGGATATACAGTTCTAATCTTCATTCTGTACTTGGCAAAGATTTGGGAATGGAATGAGAGCGGTGTCCTTCAGCTATGAACAAAGTGTAATATTTTGATAAGGCTGGAGCCATGGATGTCTACTCATCTGCTAACGTGTATGATGTAATGATGTAATGATGTGACAGACTTCTCTGATCTGAGTAAGATTACAATTTCTATCAAAATCTGTTGTCATGTCTCCTGGTTATTTACCGGTAATACATATAAGTAATGAAGTAAGAGAACCGGAGAGATAGAGCTTCAAGGTGTAAACACAGAGTCTATCTTTAACAACACAATGGGATAAAGGTTTTCTGGGGTCCAGATAAATACTATCATCTAAATTTATGGGGGATCTATTTTTTTAATTGTTATTAGAAGTCTAATTGCATAGGTCAGTTATGAGCAGTCAATATCTTAACAGCAGCAGAGAACAAACCGATGAAAGTGAATCCAGTTTGGAGACAATTTCATTTTTAATAAACTTGATCTCTGAAAAACCTTTTTATAATCTTTAATTAAAAAGACAACATTAAACATTTGTGTTTTAACAGAAGTTTTTTTGTTTTAATTTTTACTGAAAGTGAATCTTAGATTCATAATTCATACAAATCCTGATTGTCTGAAATAATGATTGTAAATATGTTTTCATTTTGATAAATATAAAAAATGTCCCAATTCCTTCAAAATGATTTAGTTAACCAGATATGACACAAATTAATGTTCATTAAACTGATAAAAAAAAGACTGATCCTATCTTATTAAACTCCAGGAAATTAGAATCCAAGATTTGTTTCTGAATGAAACAATGTTAAAGCTGGATATAAAATAATAATTCTGTCAGGAATAACAATGAAAGGGAAATAATCCTATTTTTTTTTTTTATTTTTAAACTAAATGTTTGATAAATTATCCTTGTTTCTTATTCAACTGTTTAGATATTGAAGGAATTTGATAATTTCTGTTTAACATTAGCAATACTTGGTCAAGGTAATTTCAATAGTGACACAATTTTTACACTTAGGTTGAAAAATCTGGAGTAATGAAAGCAAATCACCTACTAAATAAGCCAAAATGAAAGAAGTGGATTTATTCTTTTGAAAGATTTTCTAATATGTAGCTTAGGCGGAAGTTCAACTGTAGAAACTGATTGCTCTCCTACATCCACCTGCGACACAGCCAATCAGCTTTGAACCACATGTCCATAAAAGCCAATTGGCATCCAAAGTTCATCTTAAAAGGCCTCCGATACGCGTCTTACTGCGTTCCCTTTCTCATCTTAACCGGGCCGGCAGAAGACCGCCATGTTCTGGTTCTGCCAGAGGTTTCTTCCTAATGGGGAGTTTTTCCTCTCCACTGTCGCTCCATGCTTGCTTATCATGAACAGGTTCTGTCAACCTGTGTTATCCAGCTGGACTTCCATCTTCCAGGTCCTTGAGTGAATTACTAACATCAGCTCACGCATTCCACTGGATCTCCCCATAAAGCTCAGCTTACCGTCTCGTTAACCAGCAGTCTGAGTGCCAAAGACAGAGTAATTGTATCAATAAATTGCTCCTAATTGTCTTTTCTCTTCGTGTGAGTTTTTCAGATTGAACTTTGAGTCAAACAAGGCTGCAGAATGAGAGCTAAGAGTCCGGGTCTCCAGTCAGCTACATAAACTTCATGGAGCATTCCTCCCCTGAGTTTCTCATAGCACATCAGAGAGGGAGAATAATGTCAGAGGATGATTAATGAGCCAGAAACATCCTGCTCTGCTTTAGTGTAATGAATAACTGTGTCCTTCAGTGGGGAGGTTTTTACTCGCTGTGGAAGTAATAATTATTTAAAATCAACAGAAAATGGTTGGGGGTTGTAGCTCCACACATAATAGCCAAATTAGCTTGATACATGAGGTGAAAAAAATGGTATAAAGGGAAAACCAGAAGAAATAAGGCAATCATCAAAGGTGGACTTTTACAGTTATCAGGAATGTCAATAAATGAGAGAAACATATCAGATGGCAAAGACAGACCAGAATCATCGGGTAAAGATTTAACGCGGCGATTACCTGATATTCTGCAGCCGTAGACCTCAAAGCGCATGCAGATGCCCTGTTCCCAGGTATAAGGGCGAATACGGATGTATCGAGTCAAGGTGGGTTTGGGCAGGAAATCACGGACTTCGTCTGTAGGGTTGGAGTTCCCTCGAAAGATCTGAAATCATGTCAAAAGATGTAGTTTGTTGTTGTAGTTAATTGTTTATTTTTTTTTTATCATTATATGGTCTTTGGAAGCAAATAAATATTCCTCATTGACTATAACCAGTTTCTTTTCTCTCAGAAAAGTCTGAATGATGATGATTACTAGAAATGGAAAAATAGAAATGATCTTTAGAAGGTATTTTCAATCATATAGTTGTGCGTTTAGTTCAGTAGTTGTATTAAAAGCATCTTTTATGGTTCAGTCTGGGCAGTGTTTGTTGAAGCAGCAGCGCAGGACGCCAGGCGAGGAGCCTGGACAGCGCCATCAGGGGTTTGCTTTCTCTCTCAGCCCGGTTCCAGCCTGATTACTGTTAATAAAAGCTACTGTTAAAGACATAAAAACCAATTAAGCTCAACTAATAAAAGCAGGGTTTCTTGCATTACCCAGGTCTGGATACATAACAAAAAATTTTACAGAAAAATTTTCTAGTTCTCAGACTTTTCGATCTAGCAAGAAAATTATCATTCTTTCTAAATATTCTTTTATCTATTTATTTATTTATTTTTACTTTTCTGTATTCTATTTTTTATTTTTCATGATTTTAGCAAACATTTTAATAAACAGTATTTTGGATTTTAAAACATTTAGTGGTAACCCCTCAAATAAATACTACTTCTACCTCATTTACTACTATAAGGCACTGAAGAACAACCATGGCGGAGATAAAGTGCTGCACATACTGTGTAAAAGAATAAAACTTGGCATATAAAACAACTAGAAAGCAGAAGAAAAAACTGTTAAAAAATAATAAAGTATAGTAAAAAAACAAAGGCATTTAAGTTCCCTATGTGTGCTTTATAAATAAACATTGAGTGCAGGATCATCAAATCTGCCAAATCAGCAGCCAACGTCATTCCTGTATAATGTCACCATTTGGGAAACATGCCTGAAGAGACTTTATACAAACAAGAAAATATTTTGCTCTAAAATAAGGATATTTGATTTCCAACCACAACATTTAGATGTGAAATGCAACTTTTGTGTAAAGTTCTTTATTATGTATTGGTGTTAAATGGACACTGTTGCAGCATCTTTACCTTCTGTTTGGATCCTTCCTTCACTGCTATCCAGTCCTCTCCATTGGTGCTGAGGTCCACTTTGTAGGAACGGACAAAGTAGTGCTTATTGGTCTCCTTGGAAATTGCCCCCTGAGTCCCGATGTTTGTGACAAACCTGAGAAACCCCAAGTCCACCTGTAATTACACACAAAATCAACAAAAGTTTTTTTCTAAATAGCATCAGAGGAGATACGCAGTAAATTAAACCTTATATGCTTCATATAACCTTCATTATCAAGGGGTTTCGTTGAGGGTTTGAGTTTCTCATTTGTGCAGTATTACTCGTATTTGGTGCGTAATACAAGGCTGAAAGGAAAGGTCTAGACCAGGGGTCTTCAACATTTTCCAGGCCAAGGACCCCCAAAGTAATGGGGCGATGGAGCGGCGACCCCCTGATTATATATATTGTATAAATACTATGTATATTATGGAGGACCAACTCTGCATATTTAGAAATGAATAAATACAGGAATAAATAAATAAAAAAGGGCAGAAGGTGACCCTCTATAATATGCAGAAATGCATATAGAAATGTAAAAATTCCTTTGTATTTTTTTCCTTTTTATTTTTTTACCCTAAAAAATAAAAAGGAAAAAAATACAAAGGAAGAATAAAAAAGACAAAAATATTATATCTTGCACATAAATAAATACTTAAAAAAATAAGTAATAAATAAATAAAGTTGAAGATTATAATGGACGATAAATAAATAAGCTAATTATTACAAAGGTGAATAAATAAAGAAGCTAATTAAAAGAGATATATACATTTATGTCTCCCTGTATAATTTAATTTCTATCCACATTTATTTGGGGGCAATTAATTGTATGCTTATTTATTTATTGAGCATTTATTTATTTCTGTATTTATTTTCAAATATGGCAGAGTTGTTCCTCCATATATTACAGATGGAGTAATGTAACAAAGGTAATTTTGCCCTGGGATTATTAAAGTATTTCTGATTCTGATTCCTGGTTGATGGGACAGGTGTTGTGAATGAAACGGTGCCCAGCTTGAAAGAGCTCCTGTGTGTCACTGAATGAGTGCATTGGTGACTGAAAGACATTTTCTGCCTCCATTTATCTGTTTACTACAGTTGAATTCATGTTAATGTGGATTTAAAGACATTTCAATTAGTGGAAAAAAACTGCAGGGGGGAATATAAAAAAAAAAAAAAGTCTACTAAACTAAAACCTTCATGACCCCCATGCAGTACTTCTGTGGTTGCGGACCCCCTGTTGAAGATCTCTGGTCTAGATGGTGCTGCTAGCACAGCTATTAAAATAGCAGTTAGCTTCGGGTAAAAAGATATTATAAAAACACTGTTAAATCAATAAAAACATTTAAAATACGCAACTGCAGCATCAATAAACTGGTATAGCAATGTTTAGCATATAGCTGTTCAAGTTAGCTTACCAAACCTAGCATGCTAGCAGCTAGGAGGTAGCTCGGGTTAACATAAAGCAGAATAAAGAAATAAAACTTGATTAAACAATTATTAAAATGAGATTCAGGACAGGCAGGAGCTGTGGGATAAAAGGATAATGCAATTGTTGTTCACAGATTATATGGAGGTTTATCAACTGGGCCATGGTGAACTTTAAAATTTACTGAAACAGCTAGCTAAGAATATAAGAGGACAAAGGAGGAAATAGTTTTGATCCTTTGTAATAAAGAAAATTGAACTGTAATTTATGTGACTGTTAAAGAATTAGAAGCTAAAACGTTGCTAAATAAAGGGTGAAATTTATCATCTCACTTATTTTGTTAGGGTTTAGTTTGTTGGACTTAGCAATGTTAGGTTCTCAGCCCTTTTTAATGCTTCCTTCAGCTTGGGGCATAATGTATACTTTTCAGATCTTTAAGCATCATGTCATCAAAAAGGTGACATTTAAATCAGTTTATGATAATATGATTATGGTGGTCTAATATGGAAGCTGAAACGTGACTTAACTGCCTTAAAAAATAGTTAATTGCAGAGCTTAAATGTATTAAAAAGGAGGAAAATCCGTATTTAATAAAATGAGAATTCATCTCTGTATATATTCTGGTCATCTTTGATAATAAAATGAGTGTGTGGTGATATAGAAACATTCATGTCTAACAGAAAGAAAAAGTGAGCTCTTATACGTCAAGCCTAAAATCAGCCTAATAAGTCAGGAATGTTCTTCCATTTTACAGAGAGAGGGCTTTTTTAGTTTAAGTTAGGATATAAATGGCAAGTAAAGTCCCCCTTTAAGACATATCACAGGACTCTTCAGACAGTCTTAAAATAGAAAAGAAATTCAATTGTATCTAATTTGATTTTGTTCTACTGCAAGTCGGTTAAAGGAAAACACATTCATATGGAATTACTTTCAGATTTATACTAAAAATCTGTTTTTCTTTAACTACAAAGTTCTTACATATTCAAAGAAAGTCTTTATCTATAAGTTAATTTGCAGTATCACATTCCTTGGAAACAGTTTTCTTTTAATTATCATGAAATTGTGATCAGAGGGCTAAAAGTCTGATAGAAAATACATACTGGATGCTGTCTAATCTGAACAGAGGGCTGTTCAAACTACTTTCCCTGAAAGCAGCAGTGAAATGACTAATAAGCTGATGGTTATCATCAAAGAGTAGCAGAGATTACAAAAAGCCCGACAGTTCTTACAGTGTAAAAAATTAATAGTTGTTATCTAAACTGGAAAATACTGGAAGTTGTTCAGCAACTGCACACATGCAGGCGTCATAACTTCCCCTGCATGAAGGCATGAAACCAGTCTAACCATGTAATCAATGAGGCTATTCTCCATCTGACCTCCATTTCAATCCTGTTTGTTGAGTTTAGGCTTTATGAATTTGAGACCAGAATAAGCTCATTGGTTGAGTGTGTGGGATGTATGCAGTATGCACTGTGTAATTACACGACCGTGGAGGCGCTGCTTTACATGGGAAGGCCCCACAGGGCGGGTGTTGACTTCTTCTGCCGATGCTTTTTCAGGAAAGGAGCAGGAAATAGCGCGCTGCAAGTCTCTGTGGGATCTTTGTCTGACAAGGAGACCCCTGGGAAATCATGTTGCGTGGGATTGCTCTCTGCCGCTCCCACGTCTGTTTTCATCTAAGTTCCCATGAGGCGCATCACTTCTTAGCACTAAGCCTATATGAAAAGGTCGCATGTAGTAAATTTAAATCTAAACACACTGTTAAAGCTCTGGTGTTTATTAAAGTCTGAAAAAATGATGCCTCTAACTTAAATCTTGCTTTATTTTGAACTGCTAGACTGTAAGTAACAGTTTGTAACTCAGCTCTTTCCTAAAAAGACGACCAGAGTTAAGGGAAATAACGACTTTTTGTGGAACTATAGCATTTTTGCACAAAAATAAAGTTATAGGACGGTTCATAGTAATGCTCGGCGCATTCTAGGACCATTGAAGCCCATAAAGTTTGATCAACAAGTTTCCAGAGCTTCTTTTACTGCTCATAAATTCAGAATGGCTGTTCAATGTTGGACTACTTTCGTTCTTATCCTACAGAAAGTGCTGCAGTTCCAATTATGAAGAAAATCTAAAGAAAAATGGTATTACTCCAGTACTAAATTCTCTTATTTGGCTGCTTGTTAAATAGAAGAATATTAACTGAAATTCTCCTTAATTTGTATAAAGCCCTTAACCGCCCAGCCTCAGCAAATGTCAGAGATTTGGTTATTCTGTATGTTTCTACTTGAAAACTTTGCTTGTCAGGGTTTCCAAAAAGTAAAATGGGAGGCAAATCTATTTAATAGTTCCTAGTTTCTGTCAAAGAAGTAAACACGTGTTAAAACTCTACTTGAAATTTAGATCTCTTCATGTTACTTTCTACAGCTAAGTACCAGTTATTACCACCATTAACTTTTTGTTCACTCTAAAGATGATGCATTTGGCCCCGACATACAGTTTTTAACTTAGTCTTTCCTGGAGAAAGCTACTGAAGAGGCTTTACATCCCAGATATTTCTACTCCTCCCTTGGCAGTGAACTGTTTGGTTGTGTTTCCTTCACAAAGCCACTAAAGCAGTTTTTAAAATTTTGTTGTGTTTAGGAAATGTGCCAAAATATGACAGCATAGTTTGGTAAAAGTCGTAGGGAAGCGGCTGCTCCAACCGTTGCATTTCC